GTGTGTGTGTGTGTGTGTGTGTGTGTGAAATTCGGGACAAAAACAGTTTCCCCAAATGTGTGAAGGCTGAGTGGGTGTGGTTAGAGATAAGCAAGTAGTGGTTATGGTTTGAGTAAGTCCCCAGGAAATGAATGCCAGTCTACATACAAAGTCAGCAAATGTGACAAAAGACACCGGGCCTGTTTGTGGTTGAGTGTGTTTATTTGAGAGAGGGACAAGTGCTTAAAGACAGTCAGATATTTGAGGCCTGCTACTTCTCATGGTGCTGGAGTACAAAAATGCTGTTTCTCCTTCACGCAGAGGGGATGTCTCTTTTCTTATCTGTCGGTAACAGACACCTGGTGGGAATTATTAATGCTCAGCTATGAAGACAAGAAAAATGTACTGCAGTCACTTTTAAAGGGGTAGTTTAAAATTAGGGTAAATATGCTTTTGTTTTTAGCAAAGAGTTAAAGGTACAGTGTGTAGAATATAGTGATATCGAGCATTGAAATTGCATGTTGCAGCTGAATACCCCTCACCTCACCCTCCCCTTTAGTTGTCATAAAAACTCAAAAGGTGTTTAGTTTGTCCAGTCTGGACTAATGTAAAAAACATGGCGGCCTCCGTAGAGAGGGTCCCCTCAATGTAAATATAAAAACTACAATTCATACAATTTAGATGAAACAAACTACTGAAAACATCATGAGGATTATTCTACATTAAATTTCTGCCAATAGTTCCCTTTCACCTAAATCTTACACACTGGACCTTTAAGTGTTTACTCATCGTGCAAATGGTTCTCTTTAACTTTGTTAGGTCTTGACCTTACAATGTAAAGTTTAGCGGGAAACGGCTATGAAATGACTGCACCCAGCCAAAATACAGTTTGGAAGTCACTCTTCACAGCACAAAATGTCGTTTTTCACCGCTTTTGCACAGATTAAACAAATATGTTAATTATGGGGCCTTTCTGGCTCTTGAAGCCAAAAAACTTGCTTTTTTCACTTTCAGACAGATACAGGTTAGCTATTTCCACTTTATATGCTAAGACAGCTAGCTGCTGGCTGCAGCTTATTTTTCACCATACAAATATGAGAGTGCTATATTGATTTTCTGATCCAACTCTTGGCTAGAAGGAAAAAAGCACCATGTCAAACTTCCTTTATGGTAATGTGATACAAAGTAAAAATCCCTGGGACAAAGTTGACCCATTTTTGGATTAATACAACACAGGCGCTGCTGTATAGTCACACCAGAGACATTTTAGGGACTTTGGCTTTACCCAGTGCCCATGGTTAGAAAACCTATGGGTTTCCAATTAAAATCCAAGACATGTGGGCAGTTTAGAGCCACTAGTAGCGTAATTTGTTTCTTTTATACAACTACTGATACATTTGCAACAGTTATGAGGCAAATTTAAGCTTTTTGTGCGTAACACCCGGTCTAAATGACCCATTGTTTTAGATTTGTGTGTAAGCGGTAAAGTTAACCCAGGATTGCGTCAATGATACATTGACCCAAAGTGGGTCCGTTTTGAAAATGCACAATGTGCTTGATGTTAGGCATGGACACACATAACTAGTTCAATCACATGATGGATTAGTAGGTCCTGCATATGAAGCAATCTCCATCATGAGGTAATCGGTGACGTGACAGTGATTTAACACATTGATAAGAATCTAGCTTGTTTGAGAAAAAGCTGTCATTTGCAACACTCATTTTTAGAAACCGTAATTTCTGTAAGCTTTTCTTTATTTTTCTTTGTATGCAGTATTTTTTTTCCCGATGCTTCTGATGTGTTGGTTTTCTAGGCAACTTTTGTTTTGCCACAGAGCCAAAATTAGGCCACATCTGCATTCTGCAGGTGCACCAGTCACAAAAAGACACAGGACTCTTCCTGTATCAAAATGAACCGTCTTCAAAATCATGACAAATTACAAACTGCATGGACAAAGAAGTCCAAGAGTCACACGTACGATAATTACAGTTGTGCAATGTAATTGACTGACAAATACTGCTGATTGTGTTCTAATTTTGGTTTCTTCAGGGTTAAGCATCATATTTATGAGTTACATTTTCTTACTTTCCTCCTGTGTTGCAGAGTCGGTATGGACCCAGATCAAGACTTGCAGCCCTGTGGAGACAGCTTCCAGGTCCTGCAGGGGGTGAGGATCCCACTTGGACTCTCACATATATTATTTACATCCTCAGCTTCTGCTGTTCTCATTACAGAAACAGTTCTGCTTCTGCAGTTTTATGTTGACTTGGAGCACAGTCAGCGAGTCTGACGACATGTAAATGATTCCGTTTGTCGAGAGTAATGGGGGTGATTTCCTGAACAAGACGGCGAAACTAGAATACCTCCATTAGCTACAGTGCACAGTGTGGTTTCACTTACTTTTCTGTAAGTTGCCACTTATGATGAACAACTTCTACACAGAATACTGTTTGTTGAATGTTTTAAGCTGCATCCCTCTCTCCTACGTCGTTCAATATGAAGAGATGTAGTTACACTACTACACTCATTAATGTAGTAATTATAATATTTAAGCATTTAACTACTTCTCAGTCCAGTGGGGAGCATCAGCTAATTTAACTTTCTTTGATTGTTGATGATTTGCCACAAGCTCTAAACTCTATGAAATGTACTTGAATGTTCTGACTTCTACAGATAGAAAACAAACATGCGGTCTATTAGTACCAGGCGTGTTACATCACTGTAGTACACTGACACTGCACTTTCATAAGCAAGAATCTAAACGTGCACACATGACTTTCAGTGACAGTGACAATACTGTTGCTCCATCGTACACTGAAGTCTTTCACACCCATATATTGGCTGACTGCTGATCATATGACAGTCATATTATATTGCTGCTTATGGTTTCATGTTGTTTGTAATCCAAAATACATTTTCACTGGACTAAATTAAATGACTTAAACTAAAATTCATATCAAACCTCTAAGATTGAAGAACCAAACTACAAGGGCATTCGGGGAACGTATACCTCACACATATACCAGATTGGCCACTTTATCACCATGTCAGCAAGTATTGAGATCAGCTCGATATTAAGCATGTACACAGACATTTTCTGTAAACTGTATTGAATGTCAAAAACACCCTATATTGTAATGGTAAAATAAGGGGAAATAATCCTGGATATGCCTTAACTGATCCCTCTACAAATTCTTCCTTTGCCCATACCCCACACCTCCACCAAGTTCCAAGCAAATTTGTTTTTGTGTAATCTCTCTAAAAGACAGACCAACTGTCAAACTGCAATGAAAACATAACCTCCTTGGTGGAGATAATTAGTTAGTCAGAATTACCATGCTAGATAACATGCTAGATGGGATTAGTCAAGTCACGTTTGAGGAATTGGCTCCAGGTTCTCATTGATCCATGTGTTAATGCAGCAAATCTAGAAGATGAGATCATGATGACTTTTTCTTGTGTTTCTGTAGGAGGGCCCTCAGGGTGAAGGACAGAGTAAAACCAAACAGGAGAGTGCGTGGCTCTTCCGACTGTGGTACTCCTTCGACCACAAGTATCCTTTCTGTGCTGAGCTTCACTCAATCAAAGAACGTGTGTGTATCAACTTCTTTTAGGCAACAACTGATTGAACTAGCCCTTTGTGGTGATGTCAGGTCCAGTCAGGATGATTGTGTAGGGACTATCTTCACTCTATACTCTGTATATGATGACCTACAACGGCATATGTGCTGCAAAGGCAAAAAACATTTCCATACAGAGCAACGTGCTGCAAATTCAAAAATACATATGAAAATACAAAACAAATGCTACAACAGGAAAGATTATATTTTTCTAAATATAATTTTTTTTCACATTTGGCCTGCGTACCTCTTATATTGTCTCTTTAATCAACCTCTCCTTCAATGCAGTTCCAACTCTGGTCCACACCTCTGGTCTCTGTCTATCAGGTTGAAGCTCAAGCTGTTCCACTTAGCGTTTTCCCCACAGGCTTGGAGAACTTGCATTAGGGGTGTGTGTGTTTTTCCATTTGCAGCATCGTTTTTGAATTGGCATTGTTTTGGATTTTGCCCTTGTTGTCCGCAGTATACAAGCTTACATTTTATACAAAGTCAAACTTACAATTTATGTTATTGGATTATTCTATATTGGATCAGAATAACATACATGAATCGATAAAATGATTGCTGTTCCTGCTCTGTGTCACCACAAGGAACAGACTTAAGTGAAAGTGTTTTAGCAGCTCATCCTCCCTTTTCCTCCTTGCTTTCCTCTCTGCTGAACAGTTGCCTCCCCAGGCGGCCGATTGTGTAGCTGCTTCTGATGGGAGCAGCTGTGCTTTACAGTGGAGACGTTCTCCTTGGTGACATGCGCGAGACGCAGCTGAAACGAGCAGGGTGGATTTCTCTCATGTTCCAGCTCTGCAGAGGCTGATATTAACATACACATCACAGGCCTCTGGTGCATGTCACGTACTGACTTTACTCATCTCTTGGTACAGCAAACTGTGCAACCGACTGCTGTTTTCAACAACAGAGTTTCATTTCTGTTGAAACGTACATGTTCTGACAGGAAGCAGCCGGCCTCTCCCTAAAGGACTGGTGACCTGACCTGTTGAACAGGGCACTGGGATTTCCCAGAGTGCAACACAGCCTGATTAATTACAGACAAGAGACATAGGGTCCCACTGGTTGACTCTCTGCTGCTCCGCTGCCAAGCATCACAAAATCACTTTACCCTCAACTGCTCACTGGATCTCATGCAGATTTGAATTTGGAATGCATCCTGCTGCCAAACACCTCCACATTATTAAGCTATAATTTGTCATTCACGGGGCGTTTATTTGGGGGTCACCGCAGGAAGAGAAGGACACTTGCAGAAAATCATTGGCCACAAGGTCTATTTTAATCATGTATATACAGCCACAACCTTGTGTTGGAATTAACTTGTGTTAATCTGTGTTTTATCTGATATTTGGCCACTTTCTAATAAGTAAGTCAAATAAATGTTTTATAAGCTTTAACTAATGATTTATGTGCAATATAAATTAATAATTAATATGAACTACTTGTAGGATGCCACATTGATTTAAATCCTCCTTTTGCATGACAGTTTTAATCACCTCTCTAAATCAGCACTTTTGGCTAAATTAAATACTTTTAACTAATAAATAATAGCAAGACATTAGTAAGAGTTAGTGGCTGTAATTTTTGCATATATACCATACATTCTTCAGTTATAGATGTTGATGAAAATCATTCGAAGATTGTGCTTCTCCCCTGTCGAATCTGTCGTTGCAAATGTTAAACTGATAAACTGATTTTGGCTCCACGTGTCCTGCGGCATGTTCAAGGTGGGTAGGTGGTCATATGGGGGTGGGGGTCATTTTCATGGATTAAAGAGATAAAGAGACAATGCCCTTGCTGTGTTGGAGGAGGAGATAATGAATATTAACTTCATTCAACTTGCCTGTTGATGAACTCTTCAGATCATTTTCCTTATTAACTATCCAGTTACCTGAAGCCCATCCTGACACATAGCGGCCCACCTCTCACCTCCACCCTGCCCAGCTACTGTGGGCCGCTGGCCAGCTGTCTCACCAGCCCACAGGCATACGAGGTGAGAGTCCACACCATAAATCTATAAGCCTGCAGCAAGCACACTGTACCACGTCACCACCGACCTGTGATCCATGTTCACACTGCAGAATGGGCAGGAGGTCTATGCTCTGGTACTTAAGTAAAAGCGGTCACATTCATTAGAATCAGATGAGAAAACTAATACCACTATTGTGTTTATATGCTGAATATATAGACTGCTGCTGGGTCGCTACTTCTTCACAAAGAGCAAGTCTGACTCCGTCCAGTGTTTATCATCTACTTGATTTGAGATTTATATCTTGTTTGTTTATTTGATACAAAACTGAAAATGTGTTTTTTTCCTATTCAGCTTTGGACAGAGACAGGATAGTGATTACTATTTGTCTTTTGTATGTAAAACTAAGATGAGCGGCTGCTAGCTATTTAGCATGGCCTCTCTCTGCGTCTCTCTGAATGACAGTGAATTAGCATGCTTGTGCCGAGTATAAATCTTTTCCTGGTATCAAATAATTATTTTCCAGTATTAAATCAAAATGCATCTTTTGCCTCTGTATAATGATATTTTAAATGACTTATCTTGAACTCAGGGGCAGTACATTCAAATAAACTTGAGACTTGATAGTGTTCACGTGGCGAAAACATTCTATTTCCAAATACGGCTAATAAAGATACACATTTATCATTGTGATTTTTCATTTATATATTATGATTATTTATTTTAAAACTATGATTTTGGTTCAAACTATGACACAATGGTGTTGGTGCTGCTACAATAGAGTAGCTTGGTTCATGATATTTTTAGAATAAGCCAAAACTTAATTATTCCATAAAAAAAAATTAAAAAAGAGGTAATTTTCCTTTCTTGTATTCAAATGTGAGCCCGGTGCCTCAGGAAGGCTCACTGTGAATACTGAATCTATTTTCTCTCAGGAGAACTGTGATATGGTCAAAATATTCACAATCCCTGCCAGTAAACACACAAAGCACCAAGGCCTTCAGTGGGGGATAAAATAGATGGTCAAAAAGCCTTTCTGCATTCAGAGGGCACAAAAGACTCTTTTCAGCACCTCCTCCATGATGATCACTGTTCTGATGTTTAAAACGCACAAACACCCATTGAGGGAACGGTCACACTTGGATTCACTATGGCAATTTCTCCTTTTCATCTCATATGGAATACTTTTCTTATTATACTGTCACAATAACCCACAGAGCCTACTGTCACAGTGCGGTTACAAATCTCAAGTTTATTTTCTTACTGCAGAGTAGAAATATTCCGTAGTATCTCATTTAAATGTAATTCTCTGGGAGTTAAGTTCTTTCTTAAGTTCTGCATCAGTAATGTTTTCCTCCACTGGTGTGTTGCTCTTGGTTTGCCAGCCCAGGGCTGCCTGCCTGGCGAGCCATGAATTTAGAAGGTTGTTCATATTATCAAGGCTGTCCAGTTCTCTCTGTTGCCAAGTGGGGACAGGATTAAGTAAAGCCCTGTGCCTCTTTGGTTGTGGATATTAATATACATTTTGAGGGAATAAAATGCCCTAAGGATTTTTGTTTCCTACCGATTTCAAATTGTAAAACATTTAAAATGTGGTTGTATATGTAGAGCACAAACTAATTTTGAAAAGATGGCTTTTGTGCATACTTCTCTTATTATTTCTTATTTTAGTACATTGTGACTTCCTCTGGCCTGTCTGTTGCACTCAGTCCAGACAGTCCCCAGTGTTTCCTCAGAAGAAAATAGAAGACAGAGATATATATACTTTTATTTTCTAAAGAGGCTAATCTTTTCTTGAAACAGCTTGGCAGTGTAGTTTTTAGAAAACATGACTCAAACAAGAGTGCTGTGTGCTGTGGACTATTTTTAGCTGCAGATTAAATCACATTTGGTGCTTTAGTGAGTATTTACTGTAGCAGGATGGTGAACTGTATGTGGGGATTCACACGAAATAAATCAGTGTGTTCATGGTGCTAAAGAATGTGATCGCTGAGTGCCACAGCGGGACATAAATGTGTTTTGGGTTTTGGTTTCGAACAGTAATGGGGCTCAGTGGCACACAGGGCTTCAGAGGCAGTCAGCTTTGTGATTTTTGTCTTTTTTCACAATTTCCCCTCCCAGATAATTGTTGGAGAGAATGGGTTGTGTGGTTATGCAATATTTATTTCATTAAGGGTTTTTCTCGGATCCTTTAAACAGATCAATCCTGTGTTGACACAATGTTAACTCATCCTGTTCTCCCCGGGGACATGGACGGATTATTGATCGTCAGCCAGTCAATTAGAGCTGTGAGGAGCTCAGGCTGAAGTTCATTGTTTGCGTGTTATTGTGCAGCCTGTTGGTTCCTGTGTTGTCTTTGTTTCAGCTGTTCTTTTAGCCAGTTGCTGCGGAACAGGCCACTAAGTGAAAGTCTCCTCTCTTCCCTCCTGTAAATCCACAGTGTCCCTTATGATCCTTTGCAGTCTGTTCATCTGTTAACGCCACATGCACCCACACTGTGTGTCGTGCATCTGCGTGTGTCACTCCCATGTGTAACCCATCCCTCCCCTCATGTTCCACTGTGGATGTGCTTTCAGAACCATGAGCAGCTGAGGGACCACGACTCTGACCTCATTCGTAGCGATGGCGACCTGACCTACACATTTGGTGACACTGCGATCACAGCCAATGGTGCGTCTGGCGGTGGGGGGGAGGGCGCTGCAGGGTCAGGCTGGAGTGTGAATGGAAAACGGAGCGGCAGCACCTCAGAGGAGGCACTGGAGCGTGAGCTGGACTCCCGCGAGCAGGAGCTGCTGAGCCGCGGCACACGCCTGGTTTTCCCGATCGAGGATCATGTCTGACTCTCCCTTCCTCCCTGCCTGCGCTGTCGACTTCCCTGACCTGACCCCCAGACCGCCTTGCCCTCCTCTCTCTCCATATCCTGCGGGCAGAGCATCCAGTCCTTCAGAGACAATAGAAAGAGATACGGGAGCAGACAAGAGGGGAGGTTTCAGAGCGACTGAGTTCCCTCCAGGCCTGGAAGTAGAGTTCAAGGATCATTTCATCCTCATTACAGAAATCGAGTTTATTCTCCAGGAGACATGTGTCCTCAAGATCCTCCTCATGTGTCAGAGGAGTTACTGTGATTCACTTTTACTGATATTTTCCTCTGCATAACCAGGAGAGAATCCCTAATGCAGGAGGTGGGGATGAAATAACCCCATGCAAGATTGAATCTGCACTTTGGAACATTTTGTGTTTTTCGGCAGGAACAGAAAAGAGGTAGTAAAATGAATTATGGCCTGACAGCACTCTGTTGTCATATGATCCAGCAAGTTTCATTTCACAGTACATCAGTCTGTGACTGCAAAAATGCAAAGTGACACATTTTTAGCTACACACTGAGGTGTATACAGACGATGCTGCACACAAACCAACGGTGAACAGTTCATAGACCAAACAGGATCTCTGTGGTAGATGCAATTTATTAATATTGATCCCATGCTGCTAACAGACCATGTGTTTGTTATGTTCGTCCAGATTTCCTTTGTGTCACACAAAAGCATCTGTGTGGAGGCGAGTGTGGCATGTGAGGAGGAGCACAGAAAGGGGCAGTTGTGTTGTGCCCTGGTTGTGTTGTCCTCTCAGCCACCGCAGCCCTGTCTTGGGTGAAGTAAGAGGGGCGAAGAATGTGTGCATGTAAATAGCTACAATGCTGAGCTTTGTTCCTTTTTAATTGGGACTGCTCCTTTCAGTGCATTACATCACATGACTGTTACCAATAGCTCTATGTATTTTGTCTTTGAGTTGACTTGGATCTTTATTTTTTGTGAAGAAGGAATGCTGATTTCCCCCAACTGTAAAAACTGATCAAATATATTAATACAGTTAAAGAGCATTTTCAACACAAAAAATAAACCAGGCATTCATAAAAACTAATTTTGCAAAAATGATATATGTCTCTATTGACTTTTAAAAGGTATATCCAGTAAAATAGGACTGCAAATTATTTTCATTGACAATTCATTTGCTGATTATTTTTGCAATTAACTGATGAGACATGTAGTCAATAATGGAAAGTAACCAAGTAAATGTACTCAAGCACTGTACTTCTGTCCAGTGTTGAGGTACTGTGGTAGGCAATTATTTCTATTTCATGCTACTTCCACTCCTCTACTTTTCAGAGGAATATATTGTTCTTTTTTCTCCACTTTTAATATGGACATTTTAAAGAACAGATAATATAGCAAGCTTTTAAAATAGAACACCTTGTCAATGATCAAACTAGTGGTTCCTCTTTGGTTTCTGAGGTCTTGCGCATCTGTTCACTGCGGCACCAAATGATTTTTCCCTCTAAACTTCTCACGTGGTTTCATTTCAATGGTTGATTGAACTATCCCAATGAATAATTTCATCAAAAATCAAAGAATAGAGAAATAGTCTAAAAAGGTTTGTGTATCAGAACTTTCACTGAGAATCTTGTGACCTGCTGACCCTGTTTATACAGCTGCAGTTCAAACATGCAGCAGTAACAGGCTGCTTACTCACTGATGCTCCAGTAGTAATCATCTACTGATGTCATATGTAATATTATATCAGCTAAAAGGACCAAATCAGTCATTTTATTTCAATAAAATATGATTTCTTCCATCACTGTTTAATCAAATTATAAAAAGTATAAAAACTGTGAAAAGTATATCAGAGCCAAAGGTGATGTTATTAAATTGCTTGTTATTGACAAATGGTCCAAACGGTCATATAACGATAAACAGCAGTGAAGTCTCACACTGGAGAAGCTGGAACCAGTCAATGTTTGGCATTTTTGCTTGAAAAATAACTCACATTATTTACTTTAACCAACTGACTAATCAATTGTTTTTTTTAAATAACTGCACTTAAGCTGAATGTGAATGTGTATAATGTGGTATGATGATGATGATGATGATGTGCTTGCACAGGTCACATGCAGTAGAAGAGCATTTTTAATGTAGGAAAGTAGTTCTTCAAACACTTTTGCCTGTGAACAAGCTTTTACCTGTCAACTTTATACTCAACGTGTTTTAAAATGTATTGACAAGATCGATTATTTTCAGACAACTTTAAAATCACTGATGCCAAACTCTGACAAGCAGAGATTAGCAGAGGAAGTGCATGCACATGATTTCACCCAGCAGAAGTGCACCCTCCGCCTTCATCAGCCTTTTTGTTGACTTGTAAACAGAAGTGTATGTGGGCCGTTGCCCTTATAAAGTATTGGATAATTAACCTGAAATGCTGTTGTTTCAAAAAAGTCTGTCTCACCTTTTGTTTCTAAACCTCAGTTCCCAGGAGTGTGATTATATATATAAACAGACAGATTCAATTTCAGTTGACCTTATTTTGTTTTAAATCTCAAATTCCTCTTTGCCAACATCCTTATTTAATGAAAAGATGATATCATCTGAACCTATTTTGGATCTGATCTTGTAAGGGCAACATGTAAAGTTTGACATTTGAGGTCAAATATGCTTTAATGCCCTTTGAGAAATGTGTTTTTTAAAGTAAAATTAAATATGAAGATACAACTAGTAGCTGCTCTTTGTTACCCTAGCACAAAGGCTAATTATTCCCCTCTTGTTTGCTTTTTGCTAAGCTAGGCTAACCAACTGCTGGTTGTAGCTTCATGTTTAATATACTTCCCTATAGGCTCTGATGACCGGTAACCTTCACACCCATGAACGTAGATTTGTTCTTGTCATGGGTAAAATCACATGAGCCTCCTGGTGTTTTTGATTTCATACATGATGAACACATGATGTCTCAACTCAAACATGACTTAGATTCACTGCAGGTGTGTTACATGTTGCACATTTAGTGTGACATCAATCTACCTGTGGCCTAGTTCCTTCCAGCTTCACACAGCAGTTTTAAATTAGATAACTCCGTCACGCAAATCCTCGATTAGAGACGCTGGGCAATTCCTCAGCAGACCATTGACCCTTATTTTTTTCCTGCAGCTTGATTTACGTAACTCCACATAAACTATGAATAACTGTGTTGCCTTCCCCATTTCAAGACATTCCATCGGTTCCCCTTTTTTTAAATACACAGCACACATCCATTTTTTTTGTTTTCTCCTTTGCCTGCACACAGTGGCTGCTGCATTTATGCATGAGTGCAGGAGGGCAGGTGTGAAAGGAGTGATTGTGTGAGGTGAGGCTGAGGCTTTCACGGAGGGGGGAGAGGCCCCACACAAGTTTTAATGGCTGACTGGGTGGGGGCTTCCATGAGGAGATGGATCTACTTATGTAAGCTGCTGCCAGTATGCACAGTGGGTCATTTCAACTCTGGCTGGAGTGAGAGGCAATGTGAAGCTCTGTCTAACATCCCCTCACTGTCTGATGATTGGGAAACTTGTTTTGTATTAAGGCCACTAAAAGACTCACTTGTTGACCATTTTGTCATTATTTAATCTTTGGTGTTAGACTTGGATTTACGCTCTCCCAACCTCTGGGACATGGATGTGTGACACAGCCTCTTCTAATATAACCTACAGCAGATATAACATATATAATAGAAGTTTAAGATGTAATTTTTGATGCTATCTGATGGGGGTTTTACACATTTCCTACTGTATTGACTAACACAAGTGCATAAAAATACAGAAGAGGAACTCAAATTTGTCCACATGTGCAGGACAAACTGAGAACAGAGAAGTTTGCTTTGAGACTCGGGGGCACGACGACTTGAATGACGGCCACAGGCAAATGATGAGCAGAGTTTGACACTTCACCTCAAGCAGAGGACACTCGCGGCACTCTTATATAATCATCATGTGCACTCTTTCTCTCTCTGTCTGTCTGTACCTCTCTCTCTTTGACTGTTGTGCTGTCAGTTGTCTTGCAGGCTATATTTACATGCTCTCTATACCTGAGAAATATGAGATGTAGCTCAATCGTCAATACGTGGACCTGTTGTTTCTTGTAGCAGCTGGCTGCCAGGATCCACCCGCAGTGGTTTGCATGTCAACATGTTAATAAAAATTATCAAATGATTGCAGCAGCACAGTTGTGGTTTATTTTGGTCGATGATGCTTGTTATTTTTGCTTTCCTGTCACTCAAACTATCTGTTTCATGTACCATGACCTTAATGAATCTCTGCTATTTGATGAAATTTAAACAGAATTACCAGTTTTTACTGAAAAACACCTTTTAATGACACTTCTGCCCCATGTCTCCTCCTAGTTTTAATGCTACCAAGATCATTCATATTTAAAATTGTGTGTAATTCTCTTTGGATGGCTGTTATGATTTATCTTGTAGTTGTTCTCCTTGAGTCCTTAATATTCTAATCCCCACAGACATCCATTGTATTCACATTTCAACAATGTACAAAGTACTGACATGATTTCCCATGGTCCAGTTGTACAATATTTCATTTTAAAGACATGTACAAGTATTGGGTTATTGTGAGCGTTATATTGCATTTAACTCTATGAAGGCCCAGTCAGATCAACTGCATATGAGCTCATTATGATCACACATGTACAATTTAAGAATAATGGTAATAACTGCTGTGTTAATCAAATAGCTTGACTTATTCAAAAATGCTCTCCAATGCACACTGATCACCTGTTAGCTCATTAATGGTATCCACAGTGTATATCAGACTGCATTTAAGTCTAATGCAGATATCTTTTCAAGCCTCCATTCACTTGTTCTGGTTTTAGTGCCAGGCATAGGATAAAACGCTGATTTGTATTTTGTGATCAAAGCAAAATTTTGAGAATAAGGCCAACTGCCAGAGCTTCAGATCTAGGGAGTGTTGGCATAACCGTCCTCGCATTTGTCCACTCCAAGCTTCTGTGGTTTCCACAAATCTTTTAGTCTCAATACTCATAACCACACTGTGTTAATGTGCTGATAGAGAAATAGTTTCCTCATTACTTAAACTGATTCCGGGAACAGTTTCGCCAATTCATCTGGAGACACTCTGTCCAGGGTGTGTCCTGCCTCATGCCCATTGTCAGTGCGGGATTAATATTATTAGATATTAATATTCTTAGAGGTTTGAAATCCTGAAAATTCAAGTTATATTTCAGTCATGACTTTATTGTTATTCAAACAAATACAAAAATATTTCTCTAATTTAGTTTAATTTCATCCTCCACATTTCAACTTTATTCTTAAAATGCTCTCTTCTCATTTTTTCTTATGTCTGAGCCTACTATTATTCTGTACACTGGGTCTATAACTAAAACAAAGTATTAAGATGAATTTATATAGGATTATTGAGTAACCCAGTAATTATGGCAGTCTGCATCAACATGCACAGCAATCACACATGTTCTTCAGTTTTTACTAACTCTTTGATGCAGTCAGTTTAAATAGCATACAGGTTATTTCTTCCTTCAGGACTTCAGGTAATCCACCCAGAACAATTATTATCACAGAACCAACTTCTAAAGTTGAACACATGGATGCTGGTTATTATTTCACCCCTCCTCGACACATCCTTAACCAGAGGGATATCACAGCATTTACAATACATTAGACAAAACTAGAAACAACAGTAAGAATGGTACACAATACGATTCAGTACCGATTGCTGTTTGTGGCAACTTGCTTAAAAGTCCATTGGCAGAGGACAGAGGCAGATTTCCAAGACACGTCCATTGGATCTTCAACATTTCACACCGATGTGAGTGTTTTGTCAGTGGGGTGCTGCAGCTGTCCGGATTCCTGAGGGGTCGAGGGTGAAACAATAGTTCCTCAGTGAGGCCTCCTTTGCAGAAAATACTGTAGTTTCTTCTTTCAGAGCTGTACATTAGCACTGTTAGTGAGCCAGTTGCAGTTATTGAGTGTCAGTATTGCTCAAGATTACTGTCACGCTTAGTCATAAGCTGGACAGATAAGTCATTCCGGTGTGAGCGAACCTGGTGCTGCCACTCTGGATCCTGGCAGTCGTCTCCAGATAAGGACCCATCTTGAGCTTTTTATGGCCCTCGCCTGCAGGGGATTTGAGGAGGGATTAGAGCTACTAAAAGGACAGTAGGAAAGAGAGAGGCCGGTGTGACCGCAGTGCAAACCAGCCCTATCTCTCTTTCTTCTGTTTATTTCCCCTCCACACATTCTTTATATCTGTCTTGACCCTGTTGTTGTTAGACAGGTAACACTGGGAAAATAAGCTGCCTTCTTCCCATTTCAAATTCATCTGTCTATGATTGGCTACTCTGTCCACTTGGAGTTTCTCCAGTTCATCGACCTGGCTCGGCTGAAGGAAAACAACCCAAGAGACGTGCTCACGAGCTCACAGTGGACCGCATTCCAGCTGCTTGTTTTGTTATTCCGCCTTTCGCCCTCAGCCTTGAATACCAGGCCCCTGAAAGAGAAAAACAATCAACTGAGGATTAAAATAAAACCCTCCAAATTGTAACACAACTGCACGCTGAAACAGATATGTAGCATAAGTACGACACACATTCAACAGGGTTATTAATGCACAGGGCCTCCTTCAATAGTTCTATCAGGGCGAAAAAACAGGGTGGAGGCAGTGAGACAAGGGGCCCCCTCTGCCTCTGCCCTGTATCTGCTCCATGCTGGCATCTTCAAGGCGACCCCGCTCTAAAGGGCCTTGCTTGTGGGAGCTGGTGACAGGCCGGTGGTAACCCTGGGAGCTGTCATACGCAGCCGTATACAATGATCCCCTTCTCGATAGCACAGCCTGAGGCCCAGCCCCGCTCGCTGCCAGCCCCCCTACTGTCCATGAGAGCACCCAGCATTGCCAGGGAGAAAACAATGACGCCTCTATTAAACAGCAGATCAGTCGCTCATTAAGGAGGGAGGAATATTTCTGACTGTCTCGCTCTGATAGCACCAAAATTCAGTAACAGTAGTTTTACTTGTGTCTTAAAATGTTTTCTGTTCAGCCCTTTGAAAAACAGAATGAATTTGGGTTGCACACATTAATGTATAAATTATTAGTGTGTGACAGAGCTGTTATCTAGCTATACAACAAGTCCTTTACTATCCGGACAATACGATAATATGAGGTATGACTGTGAAAAGAATAGGGGAAAATAAACAATAAAATCAACAGATGGATTTCATTAAAAGAGGTTATCCCTTTTTTCCTGAGTTAAAAATTCTTAACATGCATGGGAGTACTCAAGTTTCCACATCACACATGTGCACGTTGCATGTTGGACCATGGTGTCCTTGAATTAAATGGTAATGTCAAGAAACAATGCTTCTACAAAAACTTCCTCCAGCAGATAATTGAAAACAGCCTTCTGGTGCATGTACAGTGAATGTCCAGCATCCATGGGGAAACAATAAACAAAACACATTTTAAGTAGAGAGGGTTTTTGAAACTGATCAGTTCTAACCTATTCTATGGCAACCATGTCAAACGAATACAAATGCGAGCAGTTCCCCATATGGTTGCTCTGTTTTCAATTTGCCTCCTACTGATGAAGGTCAGAGGTCTTGGTTCTGCACAACAGCAGCCCCGCAGCCTGCAAGAGGGTTTCTGTTTAACCACTTCCTGTACTGAGGGGTGAGAAGTTCGGCTGAAGATGAATAATGTACAGGACACTGCTCTGTTTTGCTTCACTGTCAAACTACTGATAGAAATCCTCACTAACACCTCTGAGTAATCTTAGCCTACCTTTAACCCATCTATTCCTCGAACCACCTCCTCATGTGGCTTTGTCCAAGTTGTTCTTCTGATAGCCCAGCTGCCTCATGACTTCACTGCAGTAGGCCTCCACCTGATTGATCTGCTCCACGTTGAGCCGCTCCCTCCACGCATATATGGCCTCTTTGGCATCTCTGGATGATATCAGGAAGGGCTTGTCCGAGGAGTACCCCTGACCGTGCGTCATGTTGAGCGCAAACCTCTCCAGAGCAGGGAAGGTGGATAGGTTGGCGAAGCGGTAGAGCCTCTGGAGCTCCCCCATGGGGTGCAAGACCAGGTCCTCATAACGGATGCGAAGATAGTTCTTCCTCACCCACGGGGGCGCGTTCATCACCAGCATCATGTCACTGAACCAGTTGTCACAGATGAGCTCCATGGCGCTGGAGACATAGCTCTCGGCCCTGTTCACCCTGTTGTTCGGCACCAGCAGCCGCTTGTACTTGTCAGCCTGCTTCTTGCTCCTCAGCACCTGGATGCTCTCCTTCACCAGTGCCTGCTTGGACTTGAGCCGCGAGTTGTGCACGGCCCTCGGGTCTCTGAAGAGCTGAATGATCTGGAGGTTGATCACCGGGTCCTTCATCAGAGGCACCAATGTGCTCAGGTCTAAAACGCGAACTCCTTTGATCACCATCACGGGGTACTTCTTGCACTCCCTCTCCAGCTCCCTAATGTCCCTCTTTTGGCACTTTGCGCACTGGTCCTCTTTCACCAGCCCGACATCGCGCCGCTTGTGCGCCTCGCACAGCGGCTCCGAGCAGATCACCTTGTTCATCTTCCAGCCGAATATGAACGCCGTGGTGATGTTTTGCGTGCCTGCATAAAGTTTGAGGACGGAGAAGTCGCAGCGGTACAGGGCGTTCATCATGTCCCGCACTGCGCCCTGCAGGCTGCCGGCGTCCCCCGGGTACAGCGCCTGCCAAATGTGCCACATCGGCTCGTACAGGTAGAAAACATCGGGGTGCTGGTTGAACAACTCCCCCAAGAACGAGGAGCCGGTCCTCCAGGTGGCGTGCACGTAGATGTGAACCCGGGACTGGCTCCGGTTGGCGGCGTACTCCGTAGCGTCGCTGCCGTTGACTTTATAACCGTTATCCCACAGCAGCGCCACCGTGTTCTCCAGATCTGGACATCTCGGCTGTTGCTGCGGCAGTCCATGGCCCGCGTGTTGCACGGCTTTATCCCGGTAATCCAACACGTAGGGGATGAGCAGCAGCAACCCGGAATAAGCCAGAATCAGAACCAAGTATTTCTTATGGAGCCGTCTCTTCATCTCCTCTCAGCTGCGGTGTGGAGCTGCTTCTCTGAAAGGTCAGCACCGCGCTTTGTGCTGCGCCGCGCGCTCCACAGTAAAGTTATATGGATGCGCGAGACAAGGAGCGTGAGCGTGTGTGTGTGTGTGTGTGTGTGTGTGTGTGTGTGTGTGTGTGTGTGTGTGTGTGGGAGGGGGTAGCCCCGCCCCGCACCTTTAAAGACAAAACAAGCAGATCCTCCTCCTCCTCCTCCTCCTCCTGCTCAAACACAACAATAATAAACAAGGATGATAAATCATCTCCGTGAAGTTACACCATGCTCTGATCTCTGTGCATGTGTGAGACTGTAGCAAACAGCACGCGCGTGCGAAGCACCGTTAAATCACAAATGTCAGAGAGCGTTGACGACAGGAGCCTCCAAGTGCTGCCACCTCCTGTAACCGAGGGCGATGCATCATGGGAGATTGGGGAGAACTTGCAGCTCCTTTTCACTAGTGTATTTCCGGTGTTTTTATTGGAGCCAAGTGTTTAACTTCTTCTCTGCAAATATTTTTAAATCAGGAGTTTTCAAATAAATAATCAACATTTAAAGTTTCCAAATTCTTCGGTCCCGCGCATGCGCACACGCCGTCATTTGTTGTGAGAGGCGAGCGCAGCGCGGCACAGGACAAATCAATGGAGACATGGCAGAGGCTGAAGCTGGGTTACCTGCTCGTCAAGCGGCACGTGTAGCATGTTATTGTTAGCCTGTTAGCTCCAGGTTAGCTCGTAGAATCACCTGCACAGCAGCGAGCCTGGCGGATAGCTGGCTGGTGGCAGGGCTAACGTCAAGCTAACCGCAGCAGCAGCGGTGACAGCGACATGGCACACTGGAGCACCTTCGAGAAGGAGACAGAGAGGGAGACGAAGAGGTTGGTGAGATGTCTGAGCGGGGTGGAGGACGAGGAGGACCAGAACTTTCAGCTGGCACTGAAGTTTGCCTGGTCCAATTTCAGGTGAGTGCGGGTGGAAGCAGCTAGCCTGTGAGCTGCTAACATGTAGCATCACTTTAGCCACAAACAGACATAGAGGCTGTCAGTAACGTGTGTTGCTTGTTGACAGGTTTCATCGCTACCTGGACGTGGACAGCCATAAAGTCCAGCGCAGTATAAGTGGGTGAGTGTTGTCTGCTGCTCCTCCTGCGTGTGTGTGTTGCAGGGATGGAATAATGTGGTACCTGTAGTTTGCAATGGCATCCACCACTGCTTTACCCTGATGAGTGAATTAGAATGACACAGCACGCACACACTCATGTTTCTTTATTATCCAGGAATGTTATGATGTAAACAACTCCTGCATCTATCAACTCATTTCAACTATTCAGACCTCTGAACTCCGGGACGTACCTCCTGTCATTTTTCTTTTTCCATCTCCTCACACTTTCTGAAATATTCAGCTTTTTCTGTATTGGTTATATGCATCTATTCAAAACAAATGTAAGAAAAATACCCAACCATTACAAAAAGAAGAGAGAACAAATACAGTTGTAGAGAGGATTTTTAGTGTAGTTCACCTTTATCCAGTTTGTGGATGTCTGTAATGTAAGTTGTATTTTTTTTTTGAGCTTACTGTAACTATTTATGATTATACGTGCACTGTACTAAATCATTGATACTCTGAATGTGTACCACGCTTACATTAGGAGTACACACCCACCCACACTACTTATGCATGTTGCTGTCCTGCATAACCTCCCATGTTTTCCAGAATCCATGAGAAGCTCATGGTCCACTCTGACCTGAGTAAAGCAGGAAGTTGGATGAGGCTGACTGAAGAGTTCTTGAACTCACCTTTACCTAATACAGATGGAACAAAGGTATGGTATAGAAATTATATTGGCCAATGGAAAATGAATTTGAGCATTAAGGCCAATTATGTTACACTGACATCAAGATAAATCCTCAGTAGATTCTTCTCTTCATGGATCATGTTTCCCTTATGGTTAAAGCCCAACATGACAGTTTACACAGTGCGCAGTACAGTGTTTTTGTGTTTCTTTGCAGACTGATGTGCATTACAGCATACTGTCACTGCTGCTCTTCTTGTCAGGCTCCCCCTCAAACACAAACTTTATTGAGAGACCCAGGGTGAAGGAGGCTGGTGAGTTGATGTTTCAAATATTTTTAGAATGCCACATGCACATGTTAATCATGAACTTGTCTGTGCAGAACCAGAGGACACATTTGATTGGGGTAAATATCTGATGGAGGGTGAGGACATAGACATCGGACCATATCCAGATACCCCTGTGAGTAAATCATAACCAAACCCACCCTATGTGGGAATCTGTTGCCACACCAGTACCACAACAGTTGCAGTACATGGATTTGTATCAAAGTCAAACTTTTTCAACTGTTTTTTTAGGAGTGGTCTGAGGAGGAGAGTGAGGATGAGGACAGTCAGCAGCTAATCAGCAGGGAGGACTCTGGGATCCAATTGGACAGAACCCCCCAGGAGGACCAAGACAACACCAACAAAGCAGTTCCAGTCACCTGGACAGGTAATGTACATGGTTATGAAATAATGTAAAATGAGATTGTATCAAAACAATCATCTGTGTATCTACACTAAAGCTTTTGTGAATGTAAAAATAATTCCACTCTGTGTGTTTCCAGTGGGGGAGCCTGATGCACGAGCCTGGCTTGAGCAACATGTGGTGACACCGTACTGGGTGGCTCATGCTTCTCGTTTTCCTCACAGCTTGCACTTACACTCCAACTTACTCAATGTGTGGTAAGATTTAAACTTTTTTCTCTGCCTTTGCTTCAGGCACTAATTTGATTTCTTTTGTTACCACATCCCTCCCAACAATATTGGATACACTTTTATAGAAATATTGGTATCAATATATGCTTATTGCTTAATAAAACTACACTGAGTGTTTGGGACTATAAGTAGATTTAAAGAATACAGGATTAAATATAACAAGGTTTATAGTTGTCGTGAGGTTGGGTAGATGAGATTAGAGATGTGGCCTTGACTAAGTGTCCATGAATATCATGACTGTTTTTCTGGTCTGTGTTTCCTCACAGTGTCACTCTGGCATTGTTCAGACCTGGTATTAACGTCCATCCTGAGAGATCTGATCACATGTAATCTGATCTCACTTGCCCGCTCTGTATGCAAATAATCACATATGTTATTCCTGTTCATGAAGGCCAAATGAAACCAAGCAGAGTATGCAGATTGTTTCTGTGTGTGCATGTACGTCTTAGTGAGTAAGAAAGAGAGAAAACAGACAGCGAGTGTTGGAAGTTGGAAGGGGCTGAGTGAATCAGTATGCAGCTCGACTATGGATTAAGATTTGAAAAGAAATCATTATGTTGTGGTCTGTGTTGATGACGGTGATGTATGGACACTGGAAAGAAAAAAATACTTTTCATCCATAGTGAAACTGTAGCAGGTCAGAGGACGTCAGCTAAGGAAGAGGTCCTTTGTTCCATGTGGTTAAAGTGATCGGATCTTAGGATGCATTGGGTTGTGTGCACATACTTGAATTTAAATACTCGTGATCTCAGGACGAATCTCAATACCAGGTCTGAACAGGGTCTGTGCCCCTCACTCTGAGCTTAGCTATTAAAATTTATTGTGTTACAGTGTCCTAAAACCTTCATTCTTATTGATAAAATCCACACCTTTAGAACCTCCACATGCGACCAGACATACTTCTCTCACCTGTTTACTACATTACAGAATATGGTTGGGTTCATAATAAAATACTGTATTGCTAAACACACAAATGTTTCTCATTATGACTTTGTACAAGTTGAAGTTCACTTCAGAGGATTTGAAATGGTCAAATGTTTGTGCTGTGCTCCTCTCTTCTCTTCTCAGGGATCAGCACTTGTATAACACTGATCCATTGTATCTACCAGAAGAAAAGGCCTTTGTCACAGAGACCCAAGTAATACGGGAGACACTGTGGTAAGATGTAACGAAGTTGTGGTGTGTGACTGTGTCCAATGGACAAACTTGCAAAGAAATATGTCTCCTGATTTCTCACAACCTTTTATATGTTGTAAATCCCCAAAACATTTGAATCGTCTCGTTATGTTACACAGGAAATCCCCTCATCCTTTACAGACTCCTACTGAGGGATTTATTTAGTAATATCTGTGACTAATATTTTGTAGGCTTCTGTCTGGCGTGAAGAAACACTTTATATTCCAGAATCATGATGGAAAAGTGTCTGTAAGGAACAACGTGGTGATAACTCATCTAACCAGCGTGAGTAAAAAAATCTGAAAATGATTCATATCTTAATAAGCGCAGGCTCCATTTGCCGTAGAAAACCATCTTTTCTCTTCTTGTGTTACAGAACTGCCTGCGCTCTGTGCTGGAGCATATCGCTGTGTACGGTCAGGCGGTGTTCAGGCTGCAGAGGTTCATAGACGAGGTGACGGGGTACAGCTCGGAGCCTTGCCCACCGAGCTCTGGTTCCTCCTACAGCTCCAAGAAGGTCTCTGAGCCTCCCTTCAGGACCTACCAGGCCTTTGTGTGGGCGCTCACCAAGTACTTCACAGGCTTCAAAGAGGAGCTCACCACAATTGAGAGAGAGCTCATACGCAACGGCAAGTACAAGTACAGCGTGTTTATTGATGTGAAAACCCCTGATGGAGTTAGTACAGCAACATGAACTTTGCATTCTTTGTAACAAGATAATACTGGTATTACAACACGGGTGATCTTTAGAAAAATGTTTCACTTTGTACGGGGAATCTGAGCCATTTTAACACTTGGATTTAAGTTTACTGTTACAACTACAACAGATTTCCGTGAGCTGGATCCAAGAGAGGCCCTGTATATGATCAGTGTAACACCGAAAAGGAAAAAACAAAAGGTTATTAAAATAATACCTATTTAGTCATAAATATGTTTTGGTAGGTATTCAACTTAATTATGTAAATCGCTCTTTTAAATTCATTTTTAGTTTTTCAAGAGAAATGGTTCTGCGACATAGTTCACAGTGACTCCATGTGTTGTAGTTCATAGATATTAGCACGCTCTACTTAAACTACAAACAAGACTAACATGGAATTGATCACTGATAGTCCACAAACACCCTGGACAGAATTTATCTTGGTACACTCGGCTTGGCTGTGAGAAAGACAATATACACCTGCTGTCTCTGCTTGTAGTCTGTGAGATACCATTCGTGGGTTATTCTCTCCTAGGTGAAGTCCAAAGGTGAAGTGTTAGTGATTCTGGGACTCAGATATTCCTTCATATATGTTGTACTTGACATACCATAGTTCTTAAATATCCTAATTTATGGTCTATTTCTGGTTTTAACTTGTTAAAAACTTGAAAAAACCTTGGATTTAGAAAGTAGGTTATTTGAAAGGTAGTTAATGCATTGATTTAAATGTTTATTTCAGCGAAGGGTTTGTACAAACACACTGACATTATGTTGTAACACGTTGTAATCAACAATTGCAATATACAACATTGATTTACATAGTATTTTTAGCCACCTCTAATTATTATTTTATCAACGAGGGGTTTATTATTTGATTTGGTCATTGTTTGATGAGTCCTCCTCTTTTACAGATGAGACTGTGACGCTGTCTGCAGTTCTGGAGAGACTCAGTCCTCACTTGGCACAGATCAAAGTGCTGCACAAAGTCTTCTGCACTGGGGTCGCTGAAGTTCCCCCCGAGACTCCAAATGTTGTGAGGGCGTCTCACTTGCTCAACACCCTGTACAAGGCGATCATTGAGTATGACAATGTCGGGGAAGCATCTGAACAAGACGTGGGTTTATTATTAACAATGAAGTTCAGTGAAACCAACATAACATACAGATTTCATTGATGTTAACAGGGAAGCATTGCTGTCTGTTGTCTTTCTTTGCAGGTGGCTCTATTGTTTTCTCTATGGACAGAGACAGTCCGACCGTATTTGGAAATTGTGGATGAATGGATTGTTCATGGCCACTTGTTTGACCCTGCAAAAGAGTTCATCATCCAAAGGTATGAAACAGAGATGGGGTTTCTTCTTTCAGAGAGGAATTTTAAAATGATCCTCTCCAACATGACTTTTCAAAGTTCAAACACTCGCTCCTCTACTTGCTCAGGAACAAAGACGTCCAGGTGAACCACAGAGATTTCTGGTATGCCACCTACACGCTGTACAGTGTTTCGGAAACAGTGGAGAACGAGGACAAGCTAAACGATGCAGCCAGCGGGAGCTCTGGAGGCGATCAGGGCTCCAGCCACAGGCAGCTCACCATGGTGTCCTTCCTAAAACCTGTCCTCAAGCAGATTATCATGGCAGGAAAATCCATGCAGCTGCTCAAAAATCTGGACTGTAAGGAGACTGAGCAATCAGAGAGATCCTCTAGAGGTCAGCGTTTGTTCTGATATTTTTTGGTGTATGTGTACTTACACTGGTTTAGGTTTGAGTTAAGTATTGACTTGAGCTGTGTCAAAACCTTGCATTGCAGATGCAGAAAGGAAGAGTTTGTACACACTGTTCTTAGAGTCGGTGCAGTCACGCCTCTGCAGCCAAGAGGAATCTCCCACAGACACAGTAACTGAACAGCAAGCCACTAAGAGGAGTCTCATAAAGATGCAGTCCATCGTGGCCCAGCACCTGGAGATTGATGACGTCCATGATCCGTTGCTGGCCATAAACTTTGCCAGGTAAACAGTAACATCTTTAAAATAACAAGATCGCCAGGCTTACTTGTTCTCCTCAAAATAAACAGTGAAGCAAATTTTAGAGCAGAGCAGGGGACAATTTGTCATCCCTGACTGTTATCCTTTGCAGAATAGAGCTCAGGGCTTCAATTTAGCTGTCATTATGTAAAACCTTTTTGCAGCTGGTGGTTTTATCATCTCTCAAATGGCACTATTCAAACATAATTGGATTTCAAAGGGATTAAATGTTTTCTGCTCCAGACTTGCAGGTCAGGCAGAATGGATAAATGTACATTCTGGTAACATTCTGTTCCCCCTCAGGCTGTACTTGGAGCAGAGTGACTTCCACGAGCGTTTCTCTGGAGGTGATATTATCGTGGAGCGCTCCTCGCAGTCGGTCACCTGCCAGACATTTGAGCTCACCCTGCGCTCCTGCCTCTACCCCCACATCGAGAGGAGGTACATCGAGTGCTGTGGAAACCTGATGAAGACCCTAAAAAAAGACTATAAGTAAGCGTCAGTCTTGTGGTTACTATATGATTCACTTTCTTTTAGTGCACATGGAATGTTTGAATTCCTTGGTGTCTCCACAGGCTGCTGGAATACCTCCAAGCCATGAGGAACTACTTCCTGCTGGAGGCCGGAGACACCATGTACGACTTTTACACGGCCATCTTTGACAAGGTGCAGGAGAAGGAGAGCTGGCAGCAGCGGTCTTTCCTCAATGTGCAGCTGCAGGAGGCAGTGGGACAGCGCTACCCAGAGGACAGTAGCAGGTACTGTGTGCTTTTATCAGCATTTAAGACACAGAATATTGATAATTAGAATATTCACTTCTTATGTAATTGAAAAAAAAAACTTCCCCATCATTTCATGTTTTATAGGTTATCAATCTTCTTAGAACCCATTGACCCTTCCAGGAAAAAACACCCTGTGAATAACCTTGAAGTACTTACTCTCAGTTACAAGGTAAGCAAAGTGAATGGATTCGCTTCAGTTGCCTTCATACTTTTTTAAAGCTGCCACATTGTGTTTTACTCACTTTTTTTTACAAAGATTAATATATATTTACATGGATTTCTGCATAGGTTCCCTGGCCCGTCGACATTGTGATCAGCACTGAGTGTCAGAAGATCTACAATCAAGTGTTTCTCCTCCTGCTGCAGATCAAATGGGCCAAATACAGCTTAGACACACTTCGATTCAGTGGTACGAGCCGGTTGAGACATTTTTCAATCACCTGACTCCTTCTGTTCTTTCAATGTGACATAGCCAAACTTAAAACATGTTGTTAGAAATAAGAGAAAGAATAATCAATGAATATAATTGTTATTTGCAGCCCTACTTATATTGATACTTTAATTTGAAACATTTTAACCGCTCATTCAATTGATCCATGATAAATCACCTGTTGATGGTGCATGAATATTATGAGAGTGTGAAGACTCTTCTTGCCGTGCTCTTATATGTGTGTGTTTCTCTCTCGTAGATTTCACTGCCATCAGTAAGAAAGTGGAGGGAGCGCTGGCTGAGGAGATGAAGGTCAAAGAGCCTATAAATCAGCAGATTCACAGAATGTGTCTGCTGCGGGTCAAACTGATGCACTTTGTCAACAGCCTTCACAACTACATCATGACCAGGGTGAGAGGAATTATGGAATAGACCTTTGTCACAGCAGACGTGCTGACCACCAGGAACATGAAACTGAAATAGATTTTTGACTATCATTCATTTTAATATTTACACCAGTGATTTTCATGCTGTGACAAGTCAACTTTTTGACTGATTGGCTTCCAAATGTATAATTCTGCCAGCACATTGTGCTGCAGCTAAAATGAGAGACCATGTGTAACATAGTTCATTTAGCCGCCATGACCATGATAATGACCCAATTCAGACCTTGAATTAACATCCTTATTAGTGAAAAGCTTTAAGTACATGGGTGAACGCATCTGAATGCTTCCTTAGTACGTCTTCAGTGTGATCACTTAGAGCATATTGGTCTGGGACCCATGTAGCCACATTCTTTAGCTGTGTGAATGAATTGTCTTCTCACCTGCTACAGTTTCACATCAACAGAAGTGTTTTGACTCTTCTCAGTGCCCATACGTTGATTTGTTTGTGGCCAGCACCTACACTGATCATCACAGTATGCTAAAAAAAAAAAAATTCTCAAGTTGGTCAAATCTGAGCACAGCACAGACACACAGATAAACTGACTTCACAACACAATGAAAACAGACACGTCAGTAAACTCTGGGTAAAATCAACATGAATTGATTTTCTTGAACAGAAATGACGCATGTGATTATTTGCATTTTAAGTGGGGAAGTGTGATATGATCCCAGGTGGTCACAGCAGACACATTCAGGACTCATTATTATACCAGGAGTAAACAGACAAACTGTCCACGTTTGAGATCAGATCTCTCAGGATGGACTTTAACATCAGGTCTAAACCACAATATATTGTTCTCTCCAGAAGCAAGTTTCATGTCTGTAAGTTCATTTTCATAGTAAGTGGAAATGATGAGTAAACAATGAGACGCTGCAGGTAGAAAATCAATATAATACACATGATATCTGTGATTTAACAAAAAGTAATTTGTAAAGTTTACAGTTTTTAATTGGCTAATTTATTTGATAACACTAATTGACATTTTTTTCCCATTTCTTTTTACTTTTTGTTGTCAGATCCTGCACAGCACCGGACTGGAGTTTCAGCACCAAGTACAGGAAGCGAAGGACCTGGACCAGCTGATCAAGATCCATTACAGATATTTGGCAACAATCCATGACCGCTGCCTGCTGAGGGAGAAGGTAAACAGCACCCACAGGGGAACAGGGTTAACTGGAGGGCAGGTATTGTTAATAATACAATATGGCCAAGTAGTGTTTACCATCCTGATCCATAATACTGAGTGTCTGTCAGCTCCAACATCACCTTAGCTTGGCTTAAGCTGCGCTATCACCTCACTGTGTCGGCAGGGGGATCAATTCATTAATACTCATAACTCTACCTATACATTTTTTTTATCCTTTGTTGAGACTATGGCAGCTGGACACATGCCTGCTATGTGCTTTTAGAACATTTAATACATTCCCTGTGGTCTAATGCAGTGTTATGTTTTCTCAGGTCAGTTTTGTGAAGGAGGCAATAATGAAGGTTCTGAATCTGGTCCTGATCTTCTCTGACCGATGGCAGGCTGGATTCGGAGCCTGGAAGTAAGAGCTTTCATATTAACTGGAGGGAAATTAAAAAATTAAACTAATTAATTCACAACATAAGCCAACACAAATATGAACTCTGGAAAATGTCTGAAGTTTGCTCTCCACATATAAACAACGTAGCAGGAAATTCTCTGCTCAGATGCGTTCACAGCATAGAAATCTCTGGACCTTTAGGGATGGTGCAGCAAGCAGAGACAGGAAGTAACGTATTAATTCTGCTGTGGAGATCACATGTTTTTATTAGCAGCACATTGACTTAGGCGTCGTTTATCACCAAACTCTCTCCTGACATCGTCATCTGTGTTATCTACATGTATGGCACCGCTTTGTCATCTTGACAAACTCTGTCCTTTTTTCTGTCTAACGTGTGATAGAAACGTCATCAACACACCCACTCGCTCGCAGTTAATCCTGTGGAGGATCTCCTGCTGTTTTCTCACATAGGCTCATTCAGACATTTCCCGAATGTTTACTACAGGGCTAGCTGGTAAAGTCCGGAGGCTCTCATTTGGACATTAGTGATCTCACATACAGCCCCTCTGGAAAATGTCCGGAGATTCACTGGAGCTCAGTGCATGTCTGAAAGCAGCTTCAGAGTATAATGTCAGAAAATGTTTTTGTGGATTGTTAAAATATGAGAAGTTGATCACACTCAAATGTATTTCTTATATTTCAAACAATGCAGTAGCAGCTCTCCTGACCAGCCCCTTTTCAATCTCAACATTGTGTTTATCTCTGATTACAGGATCGAGTCCATTGATAAAATGGAGTCAGATTTCAAAAATTGTCACATGTTCCTTGTGACGATACTCAACAAGGCCGTGTGTCGCGGCTCCTTCCCTCACTGTAAGTAACACTGGACTCATACAGACCTAAGTTTCTGTTGAAGTTTGACTTGATACCTCTGTGCAGACAGGAACGGTTGAAGGTGGAAGTAATACGCTTTTCTTTGCTTCTTGTACAGTGGAGTCTCTTGCCCTTTCTCTGATGGCTGGATTTGAGCAGTGCTGAGGATCCGTCACTGTTTCAGTGTTTTGCCATGATGGACTGAACTGTGTTTGCTGCTGTGTCTCATGTCATGCCTTTTCTCTAACTGCTGTCATTGTTCATGATGGTGTTGAACATTACGATGTCACTGTCTGCTGACTGCTGGAGATGGAATTGAACCATGTGGTTTGTGCCATAGTCAAATGCAACTTGTGAACATACAGTAGCAATATATAAAAAAAATAAATGTACATTCTTTTGTAAAGTTTTTTTTAAGGAGCTGTTATATTGTTTGAATGTGTATACATAAAGCAAAAATAAATCTTAAGCTCAATGGTGTAAGTTATTCATCATAATGTTATATTGCTGTGAAATTTAAATTTAAAGTTTAATTCAAATATTACTGACAGTGTAATCAACACATTTATTTTGACATTTTGCAGTGGATACCTATGTAAGACAGTCTTGGTAAATAAGTAATTGCTACACAACTGAATAGATTTGTGAAACGTGTGAATATAAGAACATTGTGGGTTCAGGCTTTTGAGTTTTTGGTCAAAACTGTAGCTTATTTACAAATTTTAAAAATATTTTTGTGTCTTGAAATTTCAGTTGAATTGCTTTTTCTTGATGAAACATGAGAATACACTACATATACATATACATACTGCAGCTCTGAAAGAGTGATGAAGTGGTTCACCCTAAGAGAGTGGTCACTGTGCTGTTGCTTTCCCTCCTTTAACCCACAGCTGTGAATTAAAGGGTTTTCACAAGTGATCTGTACAGTCATTGTTCTATTTAGTTGGACCTCAGTGTAGCGAATGACATAGTGTGAAATTGCAGTACACAAGCTGTATAGTTGCTGTATGGCATAAATCAAACTGACAGTGATATATATATATATATATATATATACATACATACATACACACACAACCTAGAATGTATTTATGTGTGATTTTGGAAAAACAAAAAAATGCAATTTGTTTTGTTATATATGAATTGTGTAAGTGCCTTTATTGATTTCATGTTTATGTTTCTTTATTTCCTTGTTTTAGTTTTCTTGTTAGCTTTTGATTACTTTTAGAAAAAAAGTGACACTATCACTTGACAATTTAAAGTGTGTTTTTGTCACTAACTTGGAAGTTATGTCAATACTAGCTGTTTCTCATAAGACTGTCTTCAGATTGATTAATTGTTATACATAATACAGGATGAAAACTTGATATACAAGTAGATGGAAATGTCACTATAAGACCCAATTAGTCAATGGCAGAAGCAGTAGATCAATATTTTTATCAATATTTAGATCTCATTTACATGAGGTAATCTATCCACCCACTAATTCCCAAACATATATGTCTGTCTGTATGTGGAACACATATCTTGAGAAACAACTCATCCGCTTCAAATAATTAAAATAGATTGAGCACATTTTTCAATATATACCTGTACAATATTTCAAACAAACTTAAATCTTGGAAATAATTTCAAAATTCTCAGAGGAAATCGAACCCCTGGCTCCTGTGTGCTGCAGCAGCTGGAGCAGGGTGGGGGGGTTGGGGGGTTGGGCTGCGGGCAGGTTCTGTACATTCCTTCGTCCCTGCTGCTGCTCCCTACCTACGGTCCTGTGGTCCGGGCCCTAGCGGAGCACAGCCGCACCGCAGCTCCGAGCCCAGCTTCCTGTTGAGTTTCCCTGAGTGAGGGACAGGAACTCCCTGCTCGACTTCTCTCCCCCGCCCATGATAACAACACCGACCGAGGGAAAGATTCCTCTGGCCCAAGACTGGGAGAAAAACTTGGATAGAGGACCTCCAAAAACCCGGCCTGCCCGGTCGCCAGAGAGGGATCGACCTCCCGGCTACATGGCCCTGTAGTCCGCTGTGAGAGCGCACAAGTTTTCCCTGCTAACCAGCGACTGACTGCGGGTGAGTGGAGAAGAGTCATCTCGAAGTTGGTTTCGTGGTGTGAACTCTCAGCGAAGTCAGCCGAGGAGCGAGAGAGAGAGAGAAAGTGTCGCTAACTCTGAGAGCTGATCGGGGCAGAGGTTAAAAATCAGACTGCTGCTCCGGCTCGAGGCGGACGGACAGAATTAGCTTTGAGGTTAAACAGCTTGTTGCGGTTCAAAGCCATTTTCCTGGCTCACAGGCCCGAGCTGTGCGTAATCTCAGGCCGCAGCACGGAGCAGGGACACGTCCATTACTCCACTTCCATGTCGGAGCAGCTCTTATAGGACAGATCCGCCGCAGCAGGTCTCTGGGTTGTGGAACTTTGTTTGTGGGGAGTTTTCTGGTGACTTGGTGAGTGGAGAGTTGTGTGTCCAGGTGGGAACCAGCCCCACCAGTTACTATGATAATACCTCTGATACTCTATCAACTCTACTGTCTGTGGGTGCTGGACATTTGAAGGGACATTAGTGTGTGGTTGTGGACATGTCTGTCCTTCCTCTGGTTGTTACTGGAGCTGGACATTTGTTCCACTGGGTTCCCCACCCTCCAGATGATGCGTTCAGGGCCCGGCCACTCTCTGTAAATAACAATTCACTCGAGTTTTTTTGACGTCACATACATTTTAGGACAAGATGCATTCTTCTGTCTACTTTCTCGTCTTTTCATGTGACCAGTGCAGCGCCGGTTCTAAACCTGTCTGTTAAAATCTTACTGTTCTCTTGTCCAGCTACTTCAGAATTATCCCTTGTCATTTGTGAGCCCTCCTCCAACAGTTCTACAATATACCGTCCCTTCTTATTGTTCCTGTGCTGGACCTTGTGTGCAGAGCTTTTTATAAACAGTCGATGGTGCAGGAGGTAGGGCATGAAGATGCTGTGGGTAAAACCCCATTCTTTTGGTATAAGTTGGTTTGTTGGTTCTCTCTGTGGTTGTTTTTTTTTTTTT